CCCTGCAGGGGCTGCCACTGTTGTGACTCCCAGCTCTCTACGGGGGCTGCCTTTAAGCATCACCCTTAACCAGTTAACCGAATACCCATTAACATCCTTAATCCTGTGAGTGAAACTTACTCCTGTACATAGACCTAATACTTGTCATTTGTCATCTGATTAATTTAATTCATTTAGAGATCTAGTCCTCAAAGAAGAGGAGAGAGAAAAGACAGGGGAAGGCATAGACTGATGGCAGCACTAATCGATAAGATTAAGTTTGATCAACTAACTTCTTCCCTGGCTGGAAGCAGGAAGGACCAAAGGAGGTGCAGTTAGCATGTTCAGCAATGGAAGTGATATTCACCACCACACAGCAAAGCACTTAGGCTGTGTCTGGATTGCACCCCTTTTCCGTAAAAGGAATGCAAATTAGACACAGCGCAATTGCAAATGAAGCAGCGATTTAAATATCCCCCGCTTCATTTGCATAAACATGGCTGCCGCTTTTTTCCGGCTCGGGGCTTTGCCAGCAAAAAGCGCCAGTCTAGACGGGGATCTTTTGGAAAATAAAGCCTTTTCCCGAAAGATCCCTTATTCCTGATTTTAAGAGGAATAAGGGATCTTTCGGAAAAGGCTTTATTTTCCGAAAGATCCCCGTCTAGACTGGCGCTTTTTGCTGGCAAAGCCCCGAGCCGGAAAAAAGCGGCAGCCATGTTTATGCAAATGAAGCGGGGGATATTTAAATCGCTGCTTCATTTGCAATTGCGCTGTGTCTAATTTGCATTCCTTTTACGGAAAAGGGGTGCAATCCAGACACAGCCTAAGTGCTTTGCTAGTATGTGAGTAATTCCATACATCCATTCAGGAAAGCACTTAAACATGTGCTTAATACCCACTGATTTATCAGCCCTAATAAAAACCAAAAACTTCAAGTGGTGTGGTATGCTTTCAGATTTCCCAGGTTCTGATTTGTGTTACGTTTGGTATAAGTTATTTGCTTTCCTTTACACTGCAAAGTTGGAAAGAATCATTATTGCTCAGAAATGTGTGTTTTTAAAAAACTAATGCTCATTAGCATGAAATGCCTCAAAGAAAAATGTTGCATACAAGAAGCAGGAAAGGCAAACAGTTTTTGCTGTGTAGCTTTCTCTGAGGTATGAAGCTAGGAGATTAGTAAACATAATTAGCTCTCTTGATACTCAATCTTCGGAGCGATAAAAACTGAAACTAGGATTGAGAGTTTTTTACGCTGTGCTGTCTGCTATGAAACACAGTTTACAAACATTAGCCAATAGCATTTATTACAAAAAGACAAGAGAACACAGGGCTAGTTGGTTGGTTGTTTTTGTTACTTATCTGAGTCTCATTATACCCTTGATTTACAATGTGTAAGAAAAACAAGTATTCTAATTGGGAATAGATTTTCTAAAACTGAAAATATAATGAAACTGCTGCCATCCAATTATTTTCAGTATGTAAAGAAGGATGATAATAGAAGTTTAAACACCAACCAAAAGCTTCAGCCTGCAAAACTTAAAAAAAAGAAATCAGACATTCACAGTGCTTTAAATTCAGAATTTACCAAGCTATATAAAAAAAACACAATCTGTGGGGATATGTATAAAATGGGACTACATGCAGTCTAGTAGCCAAATTGCAAATCCCTTGCCTGCACTGGTGCAAATTTAAGTTACTCACTTGAGTAGTTTAATTGTAGCTAATGGTACTACTCACATGAGTAGCTCTTTGTTTTAGGAAAATCTGGCCTTAGATCTGAGTTCAGTTCTGATCCTGTTACTCATTCTGTATACCTTACTTTGTAGGTAGCTATATATATATATATATATATTTATATATATTTATTTATATATACAGGCAGTCCTCAAGTTGTGCGGATCCGACTTATGTCGGATCCACAGTTACGAACGGGGTTTGCTCCGCGTCTCCCTGGTCTGCTGGAGACCAGCAGACCAGGGAGTCGGGGAGCAAAGCCGCGGACCAGCAGACCAGGGAGTCGGGGAGCAAAGCCGCGGACCAGCAGACCAGGGAGTCGGGGAGCAAAGCCGCGGACCAGCAGACCAGGGAGTCGGGGAGCAAAGCCGCGGACCAGCAGACCAGGGAGTCGGGGAGCAAAGCCGCGGACCAGCAGACCAGGGAGTCGGGGAGCAAAGCCGCGGACCAGCAGACCAGGGAGTCGGGGAGCAAAGCCGCGGACCAGCAGACCAGGGAGTCGGGGAGCAAAGCCGCGGACCAGCAGACCAGGGAGTCGGGGAGCAAAGCCGCGGACCAGCAGACCAGGGAGTCGGGGAGCAAAGCCGCGGACCAGCAGACCAGGGAGTCGGGGAGCAAAGCCGCGGACCAGCAGACCAGGGAGTCGGGGAGCAAAGCCGCGGACCAGCAGACCAGGGAGTCGGGGAGCAAAGCCGCGGACCAGCAGACCAGGGAGTCGGGGAGCAAAGCCGCGGACCAGCAGACCAGGGAGTCGGGGAGCAAAGCCGCGGACCAGCAGACCAGGGAGTCGGGGAGCAAAGCCGCGGACCAGCAGACCAGGGAGTCGGGGAGCAAAGCCGCGGACCAGCAGACCAGGGAGTCGGGGAGCAAAGCCGCGGACCAGCAGACCAGGGAGTCGGGGAGCAAAGCCGCGGACCAGCAGACCAGGGAGTCGGGGAGCAAAGCCGCGGACCAGCAGACCAGGGAGTCGGGGAGCAAAGCCGCGGACCAGCAGACCAGGGAGACGCGGAGCAAACCCCGTTCGTAACTGTGGATCCGACATAAGTCGGATCCGCACAACTTGAGGACTGCCTGTATATATATGAATAAGAGGGCCTGTCTTTATATCCTTATTCATGATGAAGAGCATCTTATGTCTTGATCCCATTGCTTTCATTGAGATTAGTTGCAAGTACAGTACTACTCAAAGTGAATCAGAATTTGACTCCTCAATTACTGGTAACTGACCCCTAGAATAGGTGCATGTGTTTGGCAATAGCTGAAATAGCCTCATAAGAAAGGCCCATAAATGTGAGAAACAAAGGAACAAATACTTCTGTGTTGATTCACAGATCCAGCAATGACTTCTTATATAGAAAAATGTAGGAAATTAGTGAAGAACATTCTAAAATTAATTAAACTGGTCACTGATTTATTTGGTCTCAATAGAACAATGGCAAATTATGTATGGAGACACCACCTTTATGACAATCTGTGATAATAAAACATGCAAGGGAGGTTTTCTTATGGTACATGACTGATCCTGAAGTTTAAAAACATCTAACTTTGTATTAGACACCTTTTTATCCTCTTGGACTTCTTTTCATTTTTCGATTTATTGGATTCATTTTGGTACAAGAAGGGATCCATACCCTTTCTGTTGTGTATTGATTATTTTCTTGTCAATAGTTGGTGTACACGAGATAAACTGAGTTTCATTCCTGTTTTGACAAAACATGGATAACTTTTAATTCAATCAGGGGTTAACTATGGTTTCTTTCAGTGGATATTGAACTTGATTGACCTTTTTCTCACCAGTAATACAACTGTTGTCAACATTAATTGAAGGATATGGATAACAAGAAGCCACATTTGACACCCATTGTCAAACATAGTTAGATTTTTTTTAGTGTAGACACAACCTTTACATGTATCTTTCTTTTCTCATCACCATAAAAATAAAAAAGTAACTTCTATGACCTTATTAAGATTGGGAGCAAAACTATTCTAGCTTCACCCATATTTAAATACAATTATTGCTAGCAGGGTATTAGCACAGCTTCCCTGAACAAATGGACCAGAAATTTGTTGTAAGAGCTGTCCTAGCACAATATAATATAGGCTACCTTCTTCTAAGTACTCTGTAGCATGATTTTATGAAATATTCTTACACAATTAATCCCCAAAATAACTTTGGTAACAATCAAAGGAATTACCTAGAATCTATCCTTTGGGGACATTTTCTGAAAATTGACCGTAAAAATGCCATCAGGACTTAATATTATATGATTCTAGTTCTTTAATGAGTCCATTTGCTGTCTTGACAAACCAAATGCTTTTTATTTCCTTCCAGATTTGGAAGCTCTTCCTGATATCTTGAAAGTCAAGATGTGGTCTTGTTTGTTCATGTATCATAACTAATAATGAAGATTCGGCAATTCTGTTGATACACAGGGTAGAACAGTATCTAGCTCGGTCTTTCATGCTGTTTGGGCTCTGCAAGACTAACAAAGCAAGTAGTAGTCCACATTTATTTGTGCCAGTGAAATAAGCAGACATAATTAAGAATATATATAAGGAGCCGTTCTGCTGCATATGAAGATGTTGATTGTCTGATCATAGCCAAACTGTAAACTTTATTCCCAGTGTTGACAGAATGGGGTCAGATAAAAGCAAAAGGCATGCACCCTTCTGCTGTGTTAGGAACATGGCAGCAGCAACTCTGTTTATTCATTGTTAACACATGAACAACAAGCAGTGTATTTGCTATGAACAATCCCAGGGTGGCAGCATAAAGGTAAAAGCACTACATTTAATGAATTTGAATAAAAATGTAGGGCTTAAGTGGGAATTAAATGGAATTTGTGCTGGCCTTCTGCACAGGTGTCACTGCTACTCTTTGTAAGAGCATGGCAGAGAGGATTCTAGCTATCTTTGTGTTCATTATTTGTTGTGCTATTGCTCTAAACATGAACATTTTGAATAAGACCATGTTGAATGAGGTCCTGAGGTTCTCCCACTGTTTTACCGCCCACAACTCCTTTAAACCATATGCCTCCTCTGTGAGACTGTTCACAGATCAATGAGCAGCATTTAAGCATTTTGTATATACATTCTTCATGGAAAAAAATCAGCAAATGTCACATAAATATCAGCCATGAATGTTAAAGTTGACTCAATGCAAATCTGATATATGTAGTTTTCAAATTCATACCATAACAGTTGAGATACTCCTTACTTTCTCACAATAAAACAAGTTTGGGGAGGAACCGTAGCCTGAGGTTATATTGTATTATTATTTTTTTCAGTTATCAACCAAGGCCAGTTTCAGGAAAGGGGCATGCTTGGACAAGAATTCAGGGTCTCTCTTCGTTGTTGCGGAGCCGATAGAGAAACTTGTTCACAACTAGTTTCCTAGCACTGGAAAGAGAAAGACTAACTTTAAAAAAGGTATTAATTATGGGACAATACTGAGTCTTGTGGTGTTGTGCCAAAATTGGGGAAGACTCGAGATTTTGTCATTTACAATCTTTTCCAGCTTTCACGTTTAGCGTAATTGAGGGAGGTTTTGCAAGGGGCTATATTCACCATTGCGTCTCATTCTATATGCTGTAATGATGCATCTTTAGTTGTGTGATGCAGGACTCAACATGGCATATTATTTTACCATTGCTCCACTGAACATATCAGGGATTGCAGACCAATGAAGCTTAGTCTACACTGCAAGATTTTTGCACAAAACCCCATGGAGCGTCCACACCTCAAATGCACTTTTGTGCAAGTAAATAAACAGTAAAATGGCAGAACAGACCGCTTTTTCCAGTGTAGGGGTAAACCTACTTTAATGAGGCATAACTCCTTCTTGTGCTACAGCTATTGTGCAAAAAGGCAAGTGTGGACGCTCCAGAGGGATTTCTTGAGAAAGAGACCCCTATTGGAAAAAGCACAGCTTTCTTGTGCAAGAGCTTTCTTGTACAAGAGTGTCCATGCAGTGTGGACGCTCTCTTGCTCAAAAGCACATTGCTTTTGCGATGTTCTTTGAGGTGTGGATGTGCTCTTGTGCAAGAAGTTTTTGCACAAAAACTCTTGCACAAAATGCTTCTTGCGCAACAAGCATGTAGCCTGAGATAAGAGGGGAGTATTAGGTCTGTGCTGCTGAGGAGTTGATCAGGAATGACAGAACTTCTGTCTTTTTCCTTACAAATCCAAGCAGCTGACACAGAAGGAACTCCATGTTCAGAACAAATTGCTTCACATAGACTCCATAAGGATACCATGGGACAGCCAGCAAAATTGTAGAGATAGGGAGAAGAACTGCCAGCCATTTGGGGATATTCCAATTGACCAGGTTTCTCAGTTAACCAGCAACGTTGCTAGAGGGACAAAGATACATATTCCTTCTGTCTCAACAAACACATCTGTGAATCCTGACCACAGTTACATTAAACCTTTGCTATTTAAATAGTCTGTGAAATTTACTGGAGAGATTTCACAAGGAATAAAGTGAAAAGAAAATTCTCTTCACATGTAGCTTTTCCCAGGTTAAAAGACTGGGGCTGTGTTTAGACTGGCCAGTTTTTCTGGAAAATTGGCCGCTTTTCCAGAAAAACTTGCCAGCTGTCGACACTGGCCGCTTAAATTTCCGCAAAAGCACTGACGATCTCATGTAAGATTGTCAGTGTTTTTGCGGAAATACTATGCTGCTCCCATTCGGGCAAAAGTCCTTTTGCGCAAAACTTTTGCAGAAAAGGGCCAGTGTAGACAGCTCAGCTTTGTTTTCCGCAAAAAAGCCCCGATCGCGAAAATGGCGATTGGGGCTTTTTTGTGGAAAAGCGCGTCTAGATTGGCACGGATGCTTTTCCGCAAAAAGTGCTTTTGCGGAAAAGCTTCCATGCCAATCTAGATGCTCTTTTCCGCAAATGCTTTTAATGGAAAAACTTTTCCGTTAAAAGCATTTGCGGAAAATCATGTCAGTCTAGACGTAGCCTAAGTGTATCATGAACTTTTGTCATCTTGTCCTTCGCCACTTCCCTATTTGAGGTAAATGACTTTTATAGCTTTCTTTCAAAACTCAGTTTGACATCTAGCTGTCTTGCATGTAGCTTAGGGTATGTCTACACAGCAAGGCTAAAGTTGAATTGAGCTATGCAACTTCAGCTACATCAATTGCGGTGCTGAAGTAGAAATAGCTTAATTCGGTTTTTGGCACTCTCTGCGCTGCAGGGAGTCAAAGGAGGAACACCCTTCCTTCAACTTCCCTTACTCCTCATGGAATGAGGGATACCATGAATTGGAGTAAGAAGTCTTCCAGCTAGACATTATTTTGAAATAAAGGTTTGTAGTGTAGATGTGCAGTATGTTATTTTGGAATAATGTCAGTGTAGACTGCTGCTGTGTAGACATATGTAGGAAATGCAACATAAACCTTGCATTTTGCTTCTTAGCCTTTTACCATTTTAGGACATAGTCTCATTCAAAATTCAAGGCTGCAAATAACTGATCATCTGTTTATGGTATATAATTTTAGATACAATAGCAATGATAATGTCCAATGTAGAAGATTCTCCTCTACAAGCATTTTTGACAAGGTCTTGGACCCTCTCTCACCTTCCTTTAGTTACTAATGTTCCTATATTGGCTGGCTTGAAACTCCAGGGCTGTGTCTAGACTGTACCCCTTTTGCGGAAAAGGGATGCAGATTAGACACAGCGCAATTGCAAATCTTCCCCGCTTCATTTGCATGAACATGGCTGCCGCTTTTTTCCAGCTCGAGGCTTTGCTGGCAAAAAGCGGCAGTCTAGACGGGGATCTTTTGGAAAATAAAGCCTTTTCCAAAAGATCCCTTATTCCTCTTAAAATCAGGAATAAGGGATCTTTCGGAAAAGGCTTTATTTTCCAAAAGATCCCCATCTAAACTGGCGCCTTTTGCCGGCAAAGCCCCGAGCTGGAAAAAAGCGGCAGCCGTGTTCCTGCAAATGAAGCGGGGAAAATTTAAATCCCCGCTTCATTTGCAATTGTGCTGTGTCTAATCTGCATCCCTTTTCCGCAAAAGGGGTGCAGTCTAGACACAGCCTAGGTGCTGTTGCTGCTTTTTTTCTGCTTCTTTATGAGATTGCCTAATTATCAATAAGATCTGTTAATAAAGTGTTTTACTCATAAACTTGACAGACCAGAATAAGAAAGAGAAAATAATTGTGGCATCAGGACAAAGTTAGGACTGAGTCTTCATTGTAAATCTAGGGGAAATTATCTTTTGAGTGATATGTGGTATGACTTACAGTTCATAGTCTGCAGCGGTTCCCAACCTTTTCCAGATGGGGACCCATTTGACAATTCAGGAAGACTTGGTGACCCAAGGCAATTCAAAAATGGGGGGAAGAGAGGGGGCAAAGCCACCTGGGGAGACACTTGGCAACCCTTTTGAAATGTAATGGTGACCCATAGGTTGGGAAACCCTGGCTCTAGAAGCAGTTATGTTCCTATATTCGGAATGTCCAGATTATATGTAATTATACACACACACAAAATTATGTTAAAATAACATTATTAAGGCTGCAAAGTCAAGCACTCAAAAGGTGGGAAATGCCAGAGTTAAGATTGCCTGTGGAAGCTTAATTTGCCCAGCCCATACATACACATGTGCATTACGATACAGGCTTCAGTTACTTGGTCACAAACTGTTTTTTCCACAGACATCTGCCTCATTCAGTGTGCAGAGTGGACAGTGCTCAATTAATGAGCAGCAAGTCAATATTTCGTTTTCTCCTCATTGGGTAATGTGTGGCCCAGTGTCTTATTTACTGTCCAAATCCTGCTCTGAAACAGAAATATTAATTTCTTCTATGGGCTTTTCTGTGATGCTTAGTACTATAGTATCAGAGTTTTTCACAAATATTAATGCATTCATTTTCACAATACCCTTGCAAGATTAGGGGATTTTGGCACTGAATTCAAATCATGCTACAGTACTCTACAACCAGACGAGTCTTAAAAGTTGCTGAAAAGATGGGCACATGCTTATATTCTTTGCTGCACGGGGGCCAGAGTGCTCAATACTTTGAAGAACTGAGTAAATAAAAAATGAGAACTCAACTCACAGCTGAAGGGCCTAATTCTGCAGCCTTTTCCCTAGCAAAACTCTCATTGACTTTAACGGACATTTTGCCTGAGCAAGAGCTACAGGACTCCAACCCTTAGTTTGCACTGTATTCCAAAAAGAGGAACCCATAAGATACCACAAGATATTGAGGAAAATACTGCAAATTACATTTATTCTATTTGTGAACACAGAGACATATCAGTATAAAAATAAAATCTGTGCTTTTGGCTTTTTGCATGTATTGTATTGTAACATAGTACAGTAAACTTACGATAATCTGGCACCTTTAGGACTCAGGGGGTGCTGGATTATCAGATATGGAGTACCGGAGAGGGGCCTATGAGGGGTCTGGGTGGGTGGTGGGGGGGGAGGGTCGGCGG